AAGGTAAATTTAAGGATAACAATTTCAACTAAAATTAAAGCACAGATTCTTTAATCTATTAACCATCCCACATTGACATTTAATCAAGCATGAGCGAGGTACTTATGGTTTGTCAAAAAACACAAAAAATTCCATCAATGTGCTGCATTTTATTTTGGGCCTCATATATATGGTCATATAATGGGATAAACTGCAATTATATCTAATAGAAAAGGTTTCATTTATTGCTATCCTTCACATTCTATCAAGTCTGTCCTTTTTTTGGTATTTGGGCCTTCGGTTAAGTGGAATCAACTCATGTTTAAGTATTTTTTTTTTTTTTTTGAATAACGATTCAAATTCAATATTTTGTAAAATTCTTCAAAAGAAAAAAAATCTGTCCTTTTTCTGTGCAGCACTTAAGTGGCCACCCATGATGTGCTTGAATGGATTTTAATCCTAGGTCTTACTTCTCCTTTCCCAATCAATTCCCTAATTAAAAAAAAAAAAAAATTTAAACATTAATTAAGAAATTTAAAACGTAAAATGATTTTTGTTAATTAATTTTCGAAGAAAATAGGAAAATCTGTCCCTTTTCTGTTTCCTTCCTCAGCCGATGGTACACAACTTCCATGCAATAACTTTTAATGGGGCCTCTCACCTGTCACTAAGATACACAACTTGCATGTAATAATTTTTAATGGGGCCTCTCACCTATCACTAGGATAAATATTTTTTTTTTCTATATTAACTTCCAAATATATACTGAATTTTATTTGAGGCCTCATAAATAGTTATGAGATAAACTGCAATTATTTCTGCTGGTAGAAAAGGATTTATTTTTTGTTATCTTTCTCATTCTATCAAGTTTGTCATTTTTCTATTTCGTCCTCAGCCAATGGCAGCTTGTTCTAATGGGGCCTTTCGCCTATCACTAGAATAGATTTTCTTTTTTTTTACTAACCTCCAAATTTTCTATCTTTCACATTCTATCAAGTTTGTCATTTTTCTATTTCGTCCTCATCAAATGATAGCTTGTTCTAATGGGGTCTCTCACCGATCACTAGGATAGATTTTTTTTGTACTAACCTCCAAATATATATATTGTATTTTATTTTAGGCCTACTTAATAGTCATACAATGAGATAAACTGGAATTATTTCTGCTA